AGAGAGAGAGAGAGAGAGAGAGAGAGAGAAATGGGAATTTTAATTCTTTTACCTAATGATAGATATAAATAACTACTGTACCAATCCTAGTACTTTATTTACTGTATACACAATATCATTCGCTTGTGGCAGAGATGCATTTTCTAACGTTCTGGCATAAGGCATAGGTGTATCAACACCTGTAACGCGTATTACTGGTGCATCAAGATGATAGAAAGCTTCACCTGAAGAAACAAATGTAAAATACAAACGTTAAACATGCACGAAAATAAATTCTTTATATGGATAAAATGGATTAGGAGAACTTACTTTCTGAAATCCTAGCACTAATCTCCGCTCCGATACCACATTGCGGCCAACCTTGTTCCACGGTTACAACATGATTCGTTTTCGCTACTGATTGTACAATGGTATTTATATCTAAAGGTCTTAAAGATCTAAGGTTTATTACTTCCGCTTCTATCCCTTTTCCTGCAAGTTCATTCGCTGCTTCAAGAGCTTGTTCAACTGCTTTGGAATGTGCCACTAATGTAACGTGTTTCCCAACACGTTCAATCTTCGCTTTACCAATTGGCAAGATAAAATCTTTTGATAAAGCTTCGTCAGACATAGGATATTGAACACCGTATAATATTTCATTTTCTAACACAACAACTGGATCAGGATCTCGAATGGCAGCTTTTAATAATCCTTTTGCATCTTCGCTAGTATAGGGTGATACTACTTTTAAACCAGGACAATGACTATACCAAGCACCAAAACACTGTGAATGTTGTGCTGCCACTCCTGCTGCTGCCCCATTAGGTCCACGAAAAACAACTGGTACATTTACTCGTCCAGCAGACATATAAAATGTCTTTGCAGCAGAATTAATAATTTGATCGATTGCTTGCATAGAAAAATTGAATGTCATAAATTCACATACAGGACGTAAACCAGCCTAGAATATTTAATTGTACAACAAGCGTTAATAAGCATTAATAAAAGAAAAAGAGAAATCAAAGAAATGATTTATGAAAGATATCAATGATATATACCATAGCTGCTCCAACAGCTATACCAGCAAAGCCTGCTTCTGTGATAGGAGTATCGATAACACGTTTATCTCCATATTTTTTCCAGAGACCCCTAGAAACTTTATAGGCTCCATCGTACAATGCCACTTCCTCTCCAAGTAAAAATACTCTTTCGTCTCTTTCCATTTCTTCATCCAAGGCTGAATTTAAAGCATCTCGTACCGTCATCTATATCGAAATTATATAAATTAAGTGTAAAAAAAAAAAAATAAATAAATAAGTTGAAAAATATAATTAATAAGCTTCGCTTTTTTTATAACAATCGACAATCATTACAAATGACAGTATATATACAATATAAATCGAATATCGTAAGTTTCAATGCATAATTTATCATCGAATAATTGATATCGAATATGGATGACCTTTATCGTCCTTCAACATGTAATAATCAGATTGCATGATTTATTGAAAATGATTATAATAAATTAGATAAAATCTTTCGTAATGCAACGAATAACTATATCTTTTACAAATGTTAAGTCTGTTAAAGGATTAGAAAAACCAATGGCGCGAGTATGATCGTGTCAAAGCAAAAATAGGTTATATTCGAACAAACGCAAGTAGAGAAAAGAATATTTGAATAATAGTCATTGTTAATCCTACCTGCTGCACGGCATTCCATTTCGACGTTGAAAACGAACGTCGGATAACTCTCGTTGCAATTGACTAAAAATAATAAATAATCAAAAATATGAATTTTTCATTTTGTTCCCAAACTATAAGCATGTCATATATTTTTTAAGATTTAAATTCAAGTTTAGACTCTTCGAGTCTACTCTAACATATATTTACCGAAAACATTGTAGCCGTCAAAAGATTGATAATAATTGATTAAATTTTAGATCGTTTCTATCGATTTAACTATTCTAAGTCGTTATTCACATGAATCGCCAGGGCCTCTGGTTCGTGACTCCGTCTTTACCATAAATCGAAATGCGGAACGGTACCAGAGCAGCTCAAGGTCAATAGGCAAACTCTTATGAAACGAACGCTATGATTTATACGATGATTTAAAATATATAATCGAAGGATAGATTATCAATGATGCAATTTTTTTTGCATTTTAACTATTTTTGACACTTTTTCTTTAAATTCTTTTGTGAAATTATTAAAAAAATGTAATTGCATTATTTAATTAATAACGATTACAATGATGACGACAATAAATAGGAAGCGCCACTTTTTCTGACCAATGATAAAACGTGGAGATTATGATCTGACCAATCACCGCTAATGAAGTAGTTTTTTTTCTATTGAAGAACACGAGGAGCATAGAACCGCGGTTAATTTGGAATACGACGAAGTATAAGTGAAGTGACAATGAGTACAGCACGTATATAAAATTAAAAATAAAAACTATTTCTAATTTTATATGAATTATCCAAAATTATATCCAAAGATGAGAATAAATTTATTTTTCTTATTTCTTTTTTATTATTTATTTCGATTATTTAGACCCTTAAATTTTAATTATTTTCTAAAACATATAAATACATATAAATATATACATATATATGTATATAAATGTATAGCGTGTATTTGTACATACGTGTAATATATGTATATTATATATACTTATATATAGAATATATAGAATATGTTGTCCATTTTGTGATTATTTATTGTCAATTTCAATTATAGATAAAAAGAAGAAAGAAAAAAAAAAAGAGAGAAATAGGAAAAATGATTGAATTAATAATTGGATTGTTGAAAATTATATTACATTATTATGCAATAATATCATTTCAGCGCTTATCGAATATCATGTCATGTCTTATACATATGTGCAACGTACGTTTGTTGCTTGTTGAATGTCGTAAATGAATAAAAAAAGATTAAAGAATTTTGATAGTTATAGAAATATATTTTGAATTTTGCGAACAATGTTTATGCGAATGGAAAATATGATTGAGAGATGAAAATAAATATTAGAAAAAAAAAAAAAAAAATAATATATATATATATTGAAATTAGCACGTGGAAATGTTACATATTAAATTTTATTTTTATAGAGAATATCAATCGATGAAAAATTTATGATTAATTATGATCGGATTATAATCGGATTAATTTTATTCTCATACGAAGTCATCAAAATTGAATTACGAATCCTTAGATCAAGGAGACAAAATACCAACATTAGCACATTGTTTATTTACAAAAAGTAATCATTCATGGTACAATGACAATGCTATGTGAAAATGCGTGTTGCGTGCATGAAGATTGCCTTTATAGAAAATGTATATTAACATACATATATACATACATATATATATATATATGTGTTAATATTCATACAAGAACATTGTATGCGAAGACATTGTGCATCGTGATTGTATTCAGATTCTCGCGTTCCAAATGTACGTAATATTAATTGCTGGAATAAACGAGGGGAAAAGAATGTTTCATGAAACGTAACGAATGATGTAATATGACTCTCCGTGCATCGATATCTCGAGAAGGAAATTAAATTTGGGTATATACGTTCTAGACCGTGATATTATTCTTTGTCGGATTTTTTATTAACGAGAGAACAACAATTGCATAGAAGTTTAATCGAATAAAATACTAACTAGGATAAAAGATCGTCTATTTAAGTTTTTAATTAAAATCACGATAACGCAATCGAGATCAAGTAAGATAACAAAGAGAGGATCGAAAAGTATTGGGATTTCGTAATTCCTTTACTTTGTAATTGTAAAAGTAATTTATCTGTAAAATCTGATATTTTGCTGAATATGCGTATGTCCGTATGTATACGTACGTTTTATATATATATATATAGAGAGAGAGAGAGAGAGAGAGAGCTGTAAAATAGAATAGAATAGAAAAGAAAAGTAAAACGGGAAGAAAGAAAGAAAAAAAGAGAGAGAAAATGGATAGAAGAAGGGATGGAAAAGATGGAAGGTTGAAGAAAAGATCGAAGTGACTAGCGTATAATACTGGGATCGGAGCAAAAAGAGATCGTTTTTTTGATCGTCCTCTAGTCTAATTAGCCGTAGATAACAGGAGAATCATCGATAGTAAGAATGATCATAATAATCGTAGTACCGTTAGCATCGGCTGTAAATACGTTACAACTTGAGTTAACTTGAGTTTTTGAAAATGTTCACTAGTCTCGATTGTACGTTCGTTTTTCAATGTATCCGATACAAATACCCGTCTCGTTGCGCATTATTTAAAAAAAAATATATATATCGTTAACAAATATATAAAAATTATAATCGCCATGATTTTATCAAATCATAAAGTTAATTCGTTTGAATTGGAAATATTGATATATCGTTATTCATTACGAAACGCACGTTTGTTTCGAAATGATTGATCGCTGTATTTACTTAATGATAAACGATCGCAACGAAGCGAAGTGAACCATATTTAAAAAGAGAATTGAATTGAATTTTCGATCGAATTTTAATTTAATACGTAAAAAGTAATAATTTATCGGGATTGTTAGATTACCAATTACTGTATTGCCAATTGATCGTGAAACATCGTATATTTAGCTAACGATCTACGGGTATCGATACGAGAGAATACGTAAGGCATCTCTGATAAGAAATAGCAAAGAGATAATTGTGACGCGTTACCGCATCAAGAGATTCATACCGAAATAATAATCTAGGAAATTTGTTTACACGAAAGAGAATCGAACAATAGAGTTGTATGTAGAGTTCTATCGGTGACACGGTTAAAAACGCTTGAGCACGGGCGCAGGCCTGGGTTCGGCGTACGTGTCATACGATTGGACGCATTAAGCGATGCTTATAAACATCATTTCAACGCGCTAATTTACACCACGATATAAAAATCTCCTTTTGTCTGTATCGTTTTCTCGCTAATATACATATATTGTATATATATATATGTACATTTTTTTATATATATACAATATATATATATATATACATATATATACACACACAAATAAACATTTATCAATAACTGTTCTTGAATGCAGCACGCATTCTCCTCGAGTAAGGTATATGTATTTAAATAGAGCTATCGCATTTCGTTCATCAATGTTTCTCTATTTAATGACTAACGTTTGTTTCCTCGTGCGTTGAACGGGAACGAAACGATTAAACGTATAAATGTATATGCATTTGTTCCATGCACATTGGAAATGGCCAAAGTACACATCGATCGGAAGACACACATCGAAATCTTTTATAAACAATTATTTTTTAATACTATTACTTTTGCTTGTACGTACGTACGTACGTACGTTCGTTCGTTCGTTCGTTCGTTCGTTTGTTCGTTCGTTCGTTCGTTCGTTCGTTTGTTCGACGATTCGATACATTCTCTATTTTATGCGTAACTTCGAATTTTATTTTCGTGTCATTGAGATATATCAATATGCGAACAATTTGAGGTAGACGAAATATTTCGAGGCGTCAACGATCGTTTGATTTCCTATTTAAATATTTGATATTACGAAAAAAAATCATGTATATAATCAAAAAGTCAACGTTTTTTTATATATCGAACAAAATATTTCACATAATACAATGTATATATATATATATATAAAGATCGAAGATTAATTTTGAATCGTCGTAATAACAAACGAAATTTAGAGACAAATATTCGTTGACAAGTTTTCGTTTATAGATGTTAAATATGCTTTATATAATATATGCATACTACGTCAGAAAAATAATCGAATAAATTATATCGAATAAAGATAGATATTTCTGTGATAAAGAATTATATTAATACGACGAGTGAAAGAGAAATTTGTAGATAAAAGAATGGAGAGAGAGAGAGAGAGAGAGAGAAGAACGACGAAAAACGTAAATTTAACGTAAAATAAAT